GCCTTCAATCTGATGGTACTAAGGTGCAAATTCGCTAGAGCAACCGTGTGGAATCCCCTCCACACTCCCTTGAGTTCTCCCCCTCACAGGATCTTCTCCCTCTCAAACTCCACCCTTTCCTCTCTCCCTTTCAAGCTCTCTCTTCAAGTTTCTCCCACAAGAACGAAGCTACTATGGCTGCCAAAGACAATTACAAAGTGCCTTGTCATAGCTTAAATAGAAGAGCAAAAAAACGAGCTCATTAATGCAAGTTGCCGACTTTATCGTCTAGGACGATAGACATATCGTCCTGGCCGATTAGTTCAAATATGAGGAAAATCATCCTGACGCCCTAAAATGAAGCTGGATGATGTATAATCGTCTCGGACGATCTTGCGATCGGCCCGGACGAAATCACCATTAATTGCTTTCCAAAATTGCCAGAATTTTTTTGTAAAAATTGTCCTAGATTGTCCTGGATGATATTTTATAGTCCAGGCCGATCCACCAGGCCAATATCCAAAAATAAGAATTTCCTAAGTAGATCTAGCGGCAGATTCTTTCTGAATTGAGCCTATCGTCCTGGCCGATACAAAATCGTCGAGGATAATGTGTTTTGCATACAAACGGCTGCTTTAATGAGGATGCCCTAATTAGGATTTCTACTTTTGAACAGATCGTCCCGGCCGATAAAAATATCATCCAGGATGATGTTACCAAAAACAATAAACTCTAGGGAACAGTTAGAAACTCTTATACGTTACAAAGCATCAGGAGCCACAATAAATACAATAGATTCAAGAAAGGAAAAAGTGTACAAACTGACTCAAACCTAGTCTACCCAATTTTGAGCTGGTTTCAAATTGCAGTCCGATCGTGTAAACCTGAAATGTCAGTACATAAGGCAATCGTAGAGAAAAAGAATGTTTGCTATCATCAAAATCATAAGCTATAAATCCATAACAATTCTATTTGCAAGCAACATCAAACTAAGCGAGTGAGGGCTCACTTGGAGAACAGAGCAAAAGAAACAATTGACCCAGAGGAAGAATGGAGGGTTAGGACTTGCTCTTGAGAGCTTGTCTTTGTTGATCGAGAGAGAAGGTAAGTGAAATAGAGAAGGGTTTTCTCTTATATCTTTCTTTATACGTTTTGTTTCATGAAATAAGAAGAAATCAATAAGGTTCGTTGACTTGGTTCACTTAGTTTTTCTTGCTTTGATTTTATGCAAGATCTATATCTTTGCATCTGTTGGCTATAAGCTTGAATCAAAAGTTTAACATTTTTTTATAATTCTTTCGAAGAAAGATAGACAAAGTATAGTTTAGGGTTTTCTTGCTTGCTTAAGATTGGAAAGTTTTATTCCTACTTTTAGAATAAACTTAAGTGTATTTGTCATTCACTACGATTAATAAAAGAATTGAGATCACGGTTGCCCCGTGGATGTAGAATTCTTAAGAATTCAAACCACATAAATCGTTGTATTTTTGTTATGTTCTATCTAATGCTTATGTTGAATAGATATTTCTTCCTGTAAATTAGTTTTGTTATTGTTTGCATATAATTAATTGTAAATCTTATTTTGATTGTTGCAAAGATTTGGTTAAAAAAAATTATCTATCTATCTTATAACTCATTTGAAAATTATTCATATGAATTTATGTATCTATATTTTTCAAATTTAATCAAATTATTCCTGAATACTTATTTAAACTTTATTTGTAATTTTTTTAAGAAAATAAAAATCAAGATATCTCTTTTTATCACAACACATGAACTCACCATATATAGGGTAGATCGATGATTCCTCTCTAGAGTTAGCAGCTCAGCACTCATCATTTGCCTGGACCACATTAATTTCAATCGCTCACTCTCTCTGGGACACTCAGTTTGACTCGTCGCGACCATCCAAGCAAAAGCTCTCCCTTCCCATGATAGCATTTACTCATATTCTCTTCTCAAGTGATTCTAGAGCTTCCATATAGGTCACCAGCCACATCAACCAACTTGCCATTCATTGGTCCTTTTCATCTCAGTACTCACCAGCAAACTCGTGTGAGTACACTTGCTCTCATCTACTCGGCATCACTGACCTCACTTAGAAATGACTTACTAATGCATTCCGCCTCACCCTCCTTTAGCCAATTAGGATATGACATGTGTCTAGAGTAGTGTTTAGCATTGTATGTGTATTATGTGTAGACTTGTTCTTTTTAATATTTTGTGTGTAGGCTTTCATAGAGCCCTCTCTGGATATGAACTGAAGCCCGATGAAATATATATATATATATATATATATATATATATATATATATCCATTTTTTAATAATTAAATCAAATAAATTAATATTAATAATATTTTTAATATATTTAAAAATTTTGAATATGATATAAATAAATATAAAAATTAAAATATTACAAAAAATGTGATATTTATGTTATTTTTTAAAGTATATTATAATGTATTTGGATGGCGCCTTCTCGCACAAATTCCATTATTCCCTGTACTAAGAAAGAGACACACAATCCGATACAGACAAAGGCGTTTGTCGCCTAACGCTCCCAAAGGAACCTCGGCCGCTTTCAGACATGGTCTTTTTTAACTTAATCCATTACCGACCTCCTCAGTGGGCTCTGCTTGAAAGAGAGAGAAAGCTCTAAGAAAGCAGTAGACGATAAATGCAATCTTCTGCTGAGAAAGAAGCGGGGAGAGATGTGTTGAGACGCTTCCTTCCTTAATCGCTCAGGTTAGACTGGCGCTGTGTCTTCCTCTCGCTGTGAAACCACCGACTTCTTTCCATTGATGGAGAGCGACGCCCTTCGTTTATGACTATTTTGATTTAGTTTTCATCTTGCTTTTTTTGGGTTCGGATTTTTTGTTTGTGCGTTTCTCGCTAGTGTGTGTTGTTCTCCTTGTAAAAAAGCGAGCTTTTTCTTTTTGGCATTCCTCTTCTCCAGCTTATCTCTCAACATTGAAATGTCCTTCGTTTATCATATTCCTCTGTTCTGAGAAGAAGAAGAAAAAGAATAAGCAGTACAAGAAGAAGCTGCAGCAAGAGGAGGAGAAGAAGAAGAATGAGAAAAAGTTGAAGCAGAAAAAGACGAAGAAAAAGAGGAAGAAGAACTTAGAAGAAGATGAAGAAGAAGGGGAAGAATAAGGAGAAGTAGAAAGAGGGGAAGGGCATAAGAAGAAGAAGAAGTAGATTAAAAAAAAAAAAAGCCCTCTTTTAGCGTCTATGGCCGAAACAGCCGACGAATTATCATCATCATCTGCGACTTCCTCCCATCTACTCAGTCTCATGTCGATGTCTCCGACGACGATAACCTCCCCCTACGCTCCATTTTTCCGCAACCTGAACGCCGACGAGCGAGGTCTCTTTCTCATCCATCTCCTCCTCAACTGCGCCACCCACGTCGCCGCCGGTAATATTGCCCAAGCCAACACCTTTCTCGAGCACATCTCTCTCCTTTCATCCCCAGACGGCGACAACATGCAACGCATCGCCTCCTACTTTACCGAAGCCCTCGCCACCCGTCTCCTCCGTTCATGGCCCGGCCTCTACCGCGCCCTCAACCCTATACTTCCCGAATCCGCCGCCGCGTCTAACCACGGCCGCCGCCTCTTCGTTGACCTCTTTCCTTTCCTCCGCCTCTCCTTCCTTATCTCCAACCAAGCCATTTTAGAAGCGATGGAAGGGGAGAAAGTCGTCCACGTCATCGACCTCGGCGGCTCTGACCCTTCCCATTGGCTCGCTTTTCTCCAGGCAGTTTCCGGTCGGCCGGAAGGCCCGCCCCACCTCCGCATCACAACCGTCGGCGAGGATAGAGACTTCCTAGCACAAACCGCCTTAGTCCTCACAGAAGAAGCAGAGAAGCTCGACATTCCCTTCCAATTCCACGCTGTAGTTTCCCAGCTCGAAGGCCTTAATATCGAAAGCCTCCATGTTAAGACCGGCGAAGCTCTCGCCATTACCTCTGTTCTCAAACTCCACTCTCTCTTGGCCTCCGACGAAGCTACTGCCACCCCAAGACAGCTTTTTTCTCCTATAGCCAAAATAGAGAGCTTTCTAGCTTCACTGCGGGGGCTTTCGCCCAAGCTCATGGTGGTAACTGAGCAAGAATCAAACCACAACGGAGCCAATTTGAATGAGAGATTCATGGAAGCATTGAACTTTTATGCTGCACTGTTTGATTGCTTGGAGTTGTCAGTGCCACGGCAGTCTGCGGAGCGGTTGAAAGTGGAGAAACTGGTCTTTAGAGAGGAGATCAAGAACATTATAGCCTGTGAGGGATTGGAGAGGAAGGAGAGGCATGAGAAGCTTGATAAGTGGATGAGGAGGCTTGAAATGGCTGGATTTGGGAGAGTGAGTTTGAGCTACAATGGATTGGTTCAAGCAAGAAGAATGTTGCAGGGGTTTGGTTGTGAAGGATATAAGGTAAAGGAGGAGAATGGGTGCTTTCTTTTTTGTTGGCAGGAAAGAGCTTTGTTCTCTATTTCTGCTTGGAGATTTAGAAGGTATGATTAACTTCTGTTTATGTTGATTGCTGGTTTTGATGATGATTATGAACATTTGGCTATGTATTAACAAACATATTTCTGTAAAGTTGGAGTTTTTTTTTTCAGGTGTGTGATAATGCTTAATGTTGTGGAAAGAAAATTAATGGCTGGTGAGTTGCTTGTAGTGTGCATCTAGTTCGTTATTGTGTGGAGTTTTGGACTTTGTTTTTTTTTTTTTAGAATTTGGGGGCCTTTTATGGATATTTAAGTTTGCAATAGAATTTTCCTACTTTTATGAATTTTTTTGATTTGGTATTGGTTCGGAGAATGTTGTGGTGGGATCATAGCCCACCAAGCCTTCTTTGGTTGATTGCTAGAAGTCTCTATGTAATGAAAATTATTGAGCATCCGGAGGTAGGGCTGCAAACGAATCGAGTCGAGCTTTGGCATGTTCAAGTTTCAGGCTTGTTTGTCAAAAACAAGCTCATGCTTGGCTTGAAGCTCATCGAGCTTCTCAGACACATGTTCGAGCTCAAGCTCGTTTAAAAAATTCACTTTCGAGCTCGTTTAATTTTGTGCTCGTCGAGCGGCTTGTTAAACCAACTGGCAATTGTGCAAGCTTGTTAAGCGTTCGGCCTATACAACCCGCCCCGCTCCTGCTTTTCATTAAGACATGAGATGAATTTGTTTTTATATAGCATAATTATTTAACTCCTGGCAGTGTGGGACTGAAGGGCCTACAGTGAAGAGAGAAAGGTGGAGTTAAAAATATGTGAAATATATAGAGAGAGGTTGGAGTTTGATAAAATTTTTATAAATTGAGGCGGGACCAATTGAAGTTTAATAATTTTTTAGTAGAAGATTTAATAAAATATTTCTAATTCGTTATATTAGTAAAAAATATATTTAATGAAAATGGTTAAAGTTAAAAATATTAAATTAGTAAAAATAAATTATTAAATTAGTAGATTTAATAGTATTTATTTTTAAAACTCTAATTGAGCTCTAATCGAGCTTCGTAGTCAAGTTATAATCGAGCTTTAAGCAAGCTTTTTTACAGGCTTCTAAGCGAGACTGTTTATGAACTGAACGATACGTTGTTCAAGCTCATTCATTTATCTATAGAGTATTTATCAAGAGTGTTCAAACTCGTTTGTTTACCTTATCAAATGAACATGAACAAGCCCTTATAGAGCCGAGT